GTCAAGGGTCAAAGTTGAGTAGATTAGTTGACGCGTCGTCCTCCAGGATCCAATGAATGGAACCTGGAGGACCGTTCCTCCATCCTGGACCCATAAGAAGACACTGGGCCTTCTTATGGTTATAAAACATTTAATCATTTTGGGAACATTGTACACTTAAAGACTTGACCTGTAAAAAAAAACTAAACTAAAAAAGCTCTCATAACTGCCAACATAAAATTATGAACAAATGATGGTCAAAAATTGTTTCTGCCATAATTAGACCTCCTGCTGTGAGGTTACCAGTGACTCCATTTAACTGTTCATGATGCCACTCACTGTGACTTTAAGATATTACAAAAAACACCTCTAATTATAACAAAGGACTTACTTTTGCTCTGGGATTTACGTACTAACATTTTACCATTACACTCTGAATTGTTGCATGTACGCACGGTTAATAGTGTCTCACACATCCTTGTAACAGACGACTTACCTTTGGTCTGGGAATTGAGGAGAATTACTGAAGCCCACAGGAAGATCTATGGATCGGTCACTCCTTATAGAAACGCCACTGGGTGATGGAGAGACTGCTCTGTTCTCTGGATTCATCCTCAGGTTCCTCTGAGTCTCCTGCAGTGAAGCCCATCTGAGAGGGAAACAGAGACACTCAGTCACCACGGGAATCACTTCCAGTTCACCCAGTTAGCTGCTGTAGAAACTGGCCAGTAAAGCAGGAAGACGATCATCTCCTGGGTTGAACTGAACGTGAGCACTTCTTTTTGCTCGCTAACTTGATGGGCATTGCTTATGGTTGATAGCTAATGTGCTAGATTTTACTGGAATCTTTAGTGCTTGCCGATGTGTACGCTACATTCTGGAAGGTTTTGAAACTTCATTTTTCAGGCACCAAAAAGTTTTTATTATGTCTTAAAAACCGCTGTTTTGTTTTTAACTGCTTGGGCTGCTCTTAGTAGAAGTAGAAACCCAAATGGAAATAAACGAATGTGACAAATGTGAATTTTGCATAAAATGTCCCATTTAAAGGGAAATGCTCATCAGGAGGAGCCTGACGTGATTAAATGAAACATGCAATGTTTCACTGATTAATAGTTAGTTTGAGAGAATTTTCATTTTACTCAGTATTGTTCATGTTCTATGAAAATGCTCATATTTCTGATTAACAGACGACTTACTTTTGGTCTGGGAATCCAGGATCATTACTGAAGCCCACAGGAACATCTATGGATCGGTCACTCATAGAAACACCGCTGGGGGATGGAGAGACTGTCCTCTTCTCTGGCTTCCTGCAGTGAAGCCAATCTGAGAGGGAATCAGAGACACTCAGTCACCAAGGGAATCACTTCCAGTTCACCCAGTTAGCTGCTGTAGAAACTGGCCAGTAAAGCAGGAAGACGATCATCTCCTGGGTTGAACTGAACGTAAGCATCGCTGACGTTGCTCACTAACATGATGGGCATAGGGTAGGGGTGGCGTTAGAACCACTGATCCTCCAGAACCACTGGTTCCCACCCATCAACCCGCCTCCCAGGAGCAGAACCGACCCGAGCAGAGCAGTGAAGTAGAACCTGGTTCCCCTTTAACTAGGAGAACAACAGATCTCATCTAGATGTTAAATTATTACATAATAAATCATTTATAGTGAAAACTGAACAATAAATAAACTCTACATTCCTGAATAAACTGCAGTTTGTTTAGTTTTCTGTCCTTAAAGCAGTGGTCCTCAAACTACGGCCCGCGGGCCGGATCCGGCCCGCCTCCACATTTTGTCCGGCCCCTGAACAATACTAGAGAGCATTCAGATTTTTTTTTAATATACTGTATTTTCCGGACTATAAACCCCTTATATGTGGATTTTTCTTCAACCACCAGGGGGCTCTTTAACAGGAAGTGAATCAAATGGAAGTCAAAATTGGAAATAAAAGAAGAAAGCGCCCATTAAAACAGAATTAGATTTTAATAGGGAATTGAAATTTGAGAATGTTGTTGATCAGTTAAATAGCATTGAGAGAAAAATGAAGATTTTTCGTTCTTTTTAAATAATACTGGGATCATTATGAGAATTTGAGGTACAGATATTAGGATCCAGTAGATGGCAGTAGTGCAACAATAATGGATGCAAGCTCCCATTGAAATCTAAAGAAGAAGACGGCACATATTTTCATTTAGCACATGCTAGTAGCAGACATGAAGGATCAGGACTTTTACTGTTACAGTTATCATTTGGAAACTACCATAATCAGTTCAGTTAAATCTAAACTTGGCAACTTTTTCTTTTTCATCCGTAATAAATGTGACATTCAATTGACCTGTTATTACTCAAATTTTGGGTGTCCGCCCCCCTCTGCTGCTGCTGCATCGTTGTGGAAAACCATTAGCGACAGAATATCTGCGGCTTATATGTGCATGTTTTAAAAAAACAACAACAAAAAAAAAAAAAACTGAGGTTGTGGTTTATAGTCCGGTACGGCTCATAGTTCGGAAATTACGTACTATAATCCTTCCTGGATTTATTCTGTAAAGAACCCAGAGAGGGTTATTTGGTTATTATTTATTTCATTAATGGTGTTATTTATTTTCCTGACTTGTTCTGTGAAGAACCCAGAGAAGGTTATTTGGTTATTATTTATTTCATTAATAGTGTTATTTATTTTCTGACTTTTGTTCTGTGAAGAACCCAGAGAGAGTTATTTAATTGTGCCTTCTGGAAAACAATACATTTTTACATTTAGGCACTCCTGCAATCGTCACACTTTTTCTGTTACAAACTGACTAGGAGAACAACAGATCTCATCTAGATGTTAAATTATTACATAATAAATCATTTATAGTGAAAACTGAACAATAAATAAACTCTACATTCCTGAATAAACTGCAGTTTGTTTAGTTTTCTGTCCTTAAATAGTCGATCTGGTTCAGACACTTTCTGATCCAGAATCTTTTTCCATTAACCAAGATAGTTTTATAGAATAATTTTCCATCCTCTGCATTAATCAGGATGACAATAAATGAGTAGAGATTTAAAGGCTCTGAAGGGAGGAACAACTTTGTTATTCACCAGGAACCTCTGGGTGGAGTTTGGAGAGAAACAGGATAAACCAGTTTTATTTTATCACCATGACTCAGTCAGAACAGATTAAAACTGCACAAAGCCCTGATTTACTTTAACTAGACCAGGGGTCGGTAACCCAAAATGTTGAAAGAGCCATAGTGGACAAAAACAAACAAACAAAAAAATCGATCGGTCACCGATCATAATCTGACCGATTTTCGTGAAAAAGTGCGTGATCGGTGATCATTGGCTCTTGTTGCCGATAC